TCAAACCCACCAGCCACTCCTCAGAAGGAAGGTTAGGCAATCTACTTCCGTAGTGATACTGCCTCAGAAACCCAAGGAGGGATCGCTATGAGTCATATGGCACATAACAACAATACCTAGAATATCCATCTTTATGCATTATATTTCATTTTTTATAACTCCCTAGATTCATACTTCATACAGTCTACGTTCTGATTATTAATGCATGTTTACAGCGGTTTCTTCTCATTTTGAATCATGCTACATCAACAAAAGAAGGTCCCCAAAGCTTTAATCTATCCACATCTTTAAGGCTGACTCTACTTTGAGGAGGCAGCTCTTCCCAAGTCATATTTTGAGTGCCTTCCAACCTGTGCATTCATTTAAGATTTTCTTGAATGTATATATTCAATGTTGCCTTTTTAATGACCTCTAATGAAATCTTCATTTTATCGAAGCTTATTTTTGTCCTTTTTGCATCTCTTAAGCCATCTCACTCATTTTTAGGCCAACATTTGTAGTTAGATAATAAATACAGTTAACATACTTCAGCAAATGCCTGGTACACATGAGATTTATGTATGTGTGTGAATGTATATATGTATGTGTGCATTTATTCCAGTCTTAGCTGCAAAATTATGGAGATGATTTACATGAATATGTAAACAGTAAGATGAACAATACATACGGCTAAATCCACAGCACTGGGAGCGTAGTAGAAAAGTGAAAAATGAAACTATAGCCAAACTTACAGGGAAAATGATGTAAGAGCCTATACAATTAGTAAAACTGTAGTGAGAAATTCAATCCGAAACTTCCTAGTGGCCAAAGAAAAAAGGAAAACAGCCAATAAATATCATTGTTCTTTTTTTTCCAGATGTTGAAAGCTAGTGGGAAGAAAGGTTTTTCTTGGTCCATAGATGTTAAATAATAATAATAAGGTGTTACTGTTTTGAAATTTTTAAAGAGCAGATTTCAGACTGAAAGCAAACAGAATTTTTGATAAAATGAATGAGGTTGGGAATGGGAATGATTCTCACAGGTCAACCATTATAAGACTGTTTTGTGTAAGGTGGTAGTTTTAAAGTACCAAATAAATAAATAAATAGAAACAACTAAACCAAATTCACTGCCATTGAGTCAATTCCCCTCCTTGGGTTTCCGAGGTAGTATCTCTACAGAAGTAGATTGCCCAGTCTTCCTTCCGAGGAGTGGCTGGTAGATTTGAACTGCCACCCTTCTGGTTAGCAGTTAAATGCTTTAGGCACTATGCCACCAGAGTACAGTTAGGAAAAAAAGAGTCAATTACACATATCTCAGCACAGTGGCCAGTAAGCTACAAAGTGAGTTGAACATTATTAGTCATTAATGTTTTATTTAGTATAACACATAAGACCTTGCATTTTATATATGTACGTGGTATTTCCTTTCCAGGTCACAGATTATAAACACATTTGTACAAAAGATCTTTTTAAGAATACATCCTTATCTTCCATTTGGAAGAAGGGAAAGATCTTCCTGTTCACATTTGATATTGGAGTTAATCTATCATTTTTAAATTTATACTAGGAAAAAGAATTCTTGATAACTAGATCTGTTTTCGAAACCAGCTTTCAAGAGTGTGAAGAGAAAGAAAATAAGAATAGAAAGCCACATCAAACATGTTTTTTTAAAGAACTGAGAAAGTTTGCCTTAAAAAATTACTTTAAAATTGAAAGAATTGATGGGAAGTTTCACCAGAAATTTGGATGAAAGCTAATAATTACTGACATTCTTAAAAGCACATACAGTGTTAGGCACAGTTCAAAGTGCTTTCTCTGTATGTACAACTGGCCTTCCGTATCCTCAGGTTGCACATCCACAGATTCAAACCACCATGGAATGCAACATTTCGGGGGGGGGGGGTAGGCGGTTCCTAAAAAGCAATTATGTGATCAAAGCAATCCCTCAAAGCCTAAGATGGTGCATAAAGTGCTATTTACATAGCATTTACATTGTTTTAGGCACTATAAGTAATCCAGAGATGACTTAAAGTATATGGGAAGATATACGAGGTTATATGCAAATACTATACCATTTTATAAGAGGAGCTCTGGTGGTTTAGTAGGTAAGGTATTTGGCTGTGAACCAGAAGTTCAGCAGTTCATACCCACCAGCAGCTCTGCAGGAGGAAGACGAGGCAATTTACTTCCATAAAGATTTACTGCCTTGGAAACCCGATGGGGATCACTGTGAGTCAGAATCGACTCAGTGGTAGGGGATTTGGTTTGGGGGCAGGGTATGCCATTTTATAGGAAACCAGAGCATCCGTGGATTTTGGTATCCACTTGAGGTCTTAGAAGGAGCCTTGGTGGTATAGTGGTTAAGGCATCTGGCCACTAACCAAAAGCTCAATGGCTCAAACCCGTTAGCTGCTCTGTGGAAGAGAGATGAAGCAGTCTGCTTCTGTAAAGATTTATAGCCTTGGGAATCCAATGGGGGTTGCTATGAGTCAGAATCAACTGTACGGCAGTGAGTGAGGGGTCCTGGAACCAATCCCCTATGGATACTAAGATATGACTGTATTAAACCACTTACTCCCCTGAACAACTTGAGGTTATCACCCCCATTTTACAGATAGGAAAACTGAGGTATGGAGCAGCTAAGTGCTTTGCTCCAGGCTACACAATTAGGTAGTGATACAACTATGATTCATATGCACCATGCACTGTGACTCCAGCAGGGCAGCGGGCCTCAGGCACTCTAACCACATTTCAAGTGTTCAGTAGCCACGGTAACTAGTGACTACATACAGTATTAGGTCAGATGAACATTTCCATCATCCCAGAAAGTTCTGCACAGCACTGGTTTAGAAAAAGCATGGAATCCGAAGCCAGAAGTCTTGGAATCAAATACTTGCTGTGTGAAATGGACAATTTACTTAACCTCCCTGAGCCTGTACTGTTTCTCTATGTTACAGCAAATGAACCAGAAAGATTATTTTGGCCAAATGGCAAATACTTCAGATTTCTTCTGTGTCTGTATAGTTTTGTTTTCTTTAGATGCTTAATTATCCTTGAAATTCCCTTTAATATTGTATTCAATTCTTTATACTAATTTTTTAAAAATGGATGATGCCCTGGGTTCTATGTTACATGATGAAATCTTAATGCAGGCATTAAAAATGCTGTTTTTACAAAGAGTTTTAAGAACATGGAGGAATGCTTATAAAATAAAGTAAAAATAGAATGTAAATGTGTAAAGAGCAAAGCTCCACCTTCTCCTCTGCTCAAAAAAAAAAACCCAACCTAGCAAAAAAGATGTGAATGTTTAATTGTGGTTATCGCTGGGTAGAAGATTTAGGGATGATTTATCTTCCTGTTTACTTTTCTTAATTTTCATAAAATTTACTTGACTATTTTTGTAATCCAAACACTGACATAAGCTTTCATTTTTTAAAAGGCTAGTCAGAGCCTTTCATTACCAAAGCATACTGTGCAACTCTTACTGATAATCTTATCATAAAATTTGGACTCGTTCCTCAAGTTCTGTGCTGTATGAGTGATGGTCGCATGGTTTCACCCTGTACTTGTCGGTCACTAGACATGTGTGGCTATTCAAATTTCAGTTAGTTAAAATAAAAGAGAAAATTCAGTTCCTCAGTCCTCTAACCATGTTTCAAATGTTCAGTCACCACATATGGCTAGTAAGTACAGTATTAGCACAGATTAACATTTCCATCATCACAGAAAGTTCTGCACAGCACTGGTTTAGAAGAAGCATGGAAACAGGAAAAAAGAAGACTTAGAATCAAGTCCTAGTAAAAACTATTACTTGCTGTGTGACATGTGCGATTTACTTAACCTCTCTGAGCCTATTCCCACGAGCAAAGGGGAACTAATAATACTATTTACCAGGTAGAGAAGTTAAAAAGATCAAATAAGGTAAATGCAGATGACAGGCCCCTGCAAACTACAATGGGGTTCCCAAGTCTCTCGGCTTGAATTTAATCTCCCATCTCTGTGGCTTGATTCCAAATCTGATAATCTTATTGCTCATACCAAGAATTTTACCTGAAGGACATCATAAAAATCAGACTTCCCAGCTCTTACACACTTCTCAGGCTAGCTCCTTAGCAAGTTGATGTTCCATAGCTTCTTTATTAAAGCTTCAGTACACAGCGCTATATATGTTTTGTGTTTTATTGTTCTTGTATAGTAACACCTCCTCCCAGTATTCCTTAAAAGTCTGCATTGTAAATACATTGTTCTATTTCTATTCCTCCAATGAAAACTAGTCTTTCAAAAGGAAAGAAAACGGCCAGATTTGCCCAATAAATAAATGGGCTAAGATGCTATAACTAAAAGGAAATTAATCTTGAGTTTACAGTGCAGGAATTAAGTAAAAGATATTGTCATTTGTTGCAAGAACACGAGGTTTTCTCCAACAATTACAGGAGTTTCTCTATGCTTCAGAGCTGTTAGGGTAGTGATTAAGCGGAAGTACTTGCTCACTGCTATTTTTTTTTTCCGAGTCAACTTCTGGTTTTTCCTGCAAAGCAACTTGGCTCTTTAAGAGCTTCTGCATTTCCAGAGCAAGCCTCCATCTTATTTGTCATTTCAACCACCTGATGGCCTATTGCAAGCATGACTTGCGACTCTTAGAAAAAAACAGCAGTCGAGTTCCCGCCCACCTCGGCGCAGATCCCACACTCACTGCTGCCTTCCCTTCTTCTTCCCGCAGGTTTCCGCGAGCACTGGATGCCTGTGACATCATGACCGCAGAGGATTCCACCGCAGCCATGAATAGCGACTGCACCGCAGTGTCTTCGGCGAAGCTGCCTGAGGGCGTAGCCGGTGCACCCAACGAGGCAGCGCTGCTGGCGCTCATGGAGCGCACAGGCTACAGCATGGTGCAGGAGAACGGGCAGCGCAAGTACGGCGGCCCACCGCCCGGCTGGGAGGGGCCGCACCCGCAGCGCGGCTGCGAGGTCTTCGTGGGCAAAATCCCGCGCGACGTGTACGAGGACGAGCTGGTGCCCGTGTTCGAGGCCGTGGGCCGCATCTACGAGCTGCGCCTCATGATGGATTTCGATGGCAAGAACCGCGGCTACGCCTTCGTCATGTACTGCCACAAGAACGAGGCCAAGCGTGCGGTGCGTGAGCTCAACAACTACGAGATCCGCCCGGGACGCCTGCTCGGAGTGTGCTGCAGCGTCGACAACTGCCGCCTCTTCATCGGCGGCATCCCCAAGATGAAGAAGCGCGAGGAGATCCTGGAGGAGATTGCCAAAGTCACCGAGGGCGTGCTTGATGTGATTGTTTATGCCAGTGCGGCAGACAAGATGAAGAACCGCGGCTTCGCCTTTGTGGAGTACGAGAGCCATCGCGCCGCTGCCATGGCGCGCCGTAAGCTCATGCCGGGCCGCATCCAGCTGTGGGGCCACCAGATCGCGGTGGACTGGGCCGAGCCTGAGATCGACGTAGATGAGGATGTGATGGAGACGGTGAAGATCCTCTATGTACGCAACCTGATGATCGAGACAACAGAAGACACGATCAAGAAGAGCTTCGGCCAGTTCAAGCCCGGCTGCGTGGAGCGTGTCAAGAAGATCCGCGACTATGCCTTCGTGCACTTTACCAGCCGTGAGGACGCAGTGCACGCCATGAACAACCTCAATGGCACCGAGTTGGAGGGCTCATGCCTTGAGGTGACGCTGGCCAAGCCCGTGGACAAGGAGCAGTATTCCCGTTATCAGAAGGCAGCCAAGGGCGGTGGCACAGCTGAGGTGGTGGCACAGCAGCCCGGCTACGTGTACTCCTGTGACCCCTACACACTGGCCTACTATGGCTACCCCTACAACGCGCTCATTGGGCCCAACAGGGAGTACTTCGTGAAAGGTTAGTGGAGCTCTGCACTGAGTGGGCCTGTAGGAGCTCGCTTCCTGCCTTTAGGATACTGAACCTCCCTTTGTTGGGTTCTGAGTTCTTTTCCTTGCTGTTACCGAAGGCATACACCTCGGTGGCATTTAGAGAAATATAGAGCTTTCCTTTCTACGGGATGAGCAATAAAATCATGGGGGGGGGGGTTATATGCAAGCTCTTGTATATTTTTTCCCCTCATTCTCTGATTTTGGGCTAGCCCACTAATCTCTTGGTACTTTGGCTAAAACCTGTTTGTGAAACTAAGTCTTTAAAATGTTGAAGGTGAGGAGACTATTGTGTGTGTGTGTGTGTGTGTGTGTGTGAGAGAGAGAGAGGAGCTCTGGTAGCATAGTGCCTAAGGCACTTGACTGCTCACCAGAAGGCTGGCGGTTCAAACCCACCAGCCACTCCTCGGAAGGAAGGTTGGGCAACCCTACTTCCATAGTGATACTGCCTCGGAAACCCAAGGAGGGGTCGCTATGAGTCGGGGTCGACTCGACGGCAAGCAACAACAATATGTGTGTGTGTATATATAATATGTATTATAAATATATATATTGTGTATATGTATATATGTGTAATGTAGATGTATGTATGTAAGTATATATGTATATATATCTTTTTTTTAATAGAAAATCATTGAGTAGGATATAATGATACAAAGCATTCTAGTGTAAAACGAGATACTTAGGTGCTAGGTTCTAGATGACTTGAGTCACTTTCACCTCTCTGGGTGTGTTTCCTCAAGCATAAAATGAGGAAGGTAGATTAGCAGATCCCTTTCCAGATCTAACTTTTGTACAGTCTGAATGTTTTTCCACCCTGACGTTTCAGTTGCAATAAAGGGGACTCACCCTGTGAGTTCACCTTTGGCACTAAACAGATGAGGTATCTTTACCAGCTCATTGAAGAGCAAAGTTATAGCCACCCGTAACTTAGACTCAGGCGAACCACTAACTACCGAGAACTTTGGGTTAATCTCTGCGTCCTGTACTCACTATTTTTTAGTCGCTCATCACTTTTTATGTTGTTATTATAAGCAGGCAGCATAAGAGGCCGAGGGCGAGGTGCAGCTGGCAACAGAGCCCCAGGGCCCAGGGGTTCTTACCTCGGGGGATATTCTGCTGGCCGCGGTATCTATAGCCGATACCATGAAGGGAAAGGAAAGCAGCAAGAAAAAGGATTTGAGTTTGTCCCAAATTTGGAACTCTCTGCCGTCAATCCAGTTGCCATTAAGCCTGGTGCAGGTCAGTATAAATCAGAATGAGGATGCATATATTCAGCGTGAACCCCAGCCCTCTCTCTGCAGTGAATCCACACCTTTTTTGGCACATGGGTTCCTCTTCTCATAGGCAGTTAGAGACTAGACAGTGAAGGTGGACACCTGGACTGTCTTGTCTGGAACTTAATGGGGGTTGGTCTAGTTCTGACTATGCTTATGTCAAAGTTTCCAGTGATGGGTTTTTCATACGGGTGTCACCAACTGTTAGGCTTTTTCCCATCTATGGCTGAGCAGGCAAAGTTGGTGGGGGAAAATTGAAGAATATAGGGCTTGCTGTTTCTTCTGTTAGCTGAAATCTCTTTCCCCCTTGTTGTTTAATCCCGTTGAGTCAATTCCAACTCACAGTAACCCATGTGACAAAGTAGAACTGCCCATAGAATTCTCTAAGCTGTAATCTTTATGGGAGCACATTGTCAGATCTGGTCAGTGGGTGGACAGGTGGAGTGGTTGTTCCTCCAACCCTCTTCCTGGCTTCACTGAAGGTGGATTGAAGAGCTCTTTGCACAAATCCTCACCTCTAAGCTTAGCTACCCTGGTTTTCTTTGGGTTGAGAAGGGTACACTCCTATGGCTAGATTAAAAAAGAGTTAAAGACCCTGTCACTTGGAGCATAGGTTTGCATTGGCCTCATAGGGCTAAAACACATTCTTCCAGTACAGCTTCCCTTTAAAGTAATCCAATGATAATGTTTTTGCCTGTGAAATTCTTTTTGCAGTTAAGTGACTCCTTAAACTAGATTTCCATATCAATGCCACTAGCGTTATAAGAAGTTTAAAAGTGATGCCATATCTGTCCTTAATTCCATAAAACAAAGCCTGGATATGGGACTTGTCACTTCTACTCGTTGGGAAAGACTCCTATTGGCAAATTGCAATGGCTTAAGGTTTAACTAGAGAAAAGAACTACTGGACAATCTTTAGCCATGTTAAGTCATGTCTTGGGGCCTGAGAGAAAAATTCCTATGGGCTAGTAGCCAGAACAGTCCAGTTACTTAGTATTACCCTGACCATAAAAACCAAGCCAAACTCACTGCCATTGAAGTCAATTTTGACTCATAGCGACCCCTTAGTGGGTTTCGGAGGCAGTAAATATTTATGGACCTAGATTGTCCTATCTTCCTTCCACAGAGAGGCTAGTGGGTTTGAACCACCAGCCTTCTACTTAGCAGTCAGATGCCTTGGGCACTATGTCATCAGAGCCCCCTATGTAGCTAAAAGTCGTAGCTCTCTCTTGGTCCCATCTCCTTGACCTCTGCTTCTGATTCATCCAGAAAATTAGAACTTTGTATTTTTGGAGAGTCGCCAAAGCAGTATTGAAGTGTCTGTTGGCAAAAGACAATGGAAGAAGTGGTTGGAAAGGCAGGTAAAAGATTGGATGATGGTTTTAGGCATTTTTCTATTGGGTGGCTGTACCATTGTTTAGCTTATAGTTCTTTGTCTCTTTATCTTAGATTAAATCAGCTTTTATTAGGTTAAATATACCCACAATTAGAGAAAAAACAGAACTGGAAAAATTCTTTGTATACGTATTTCATAGTCTTGCTTATCCTTTTAACACACACACATACATACATACACACACACACTAGATTGCAAACTCCCAAATCAATGCTACTATCTTCCTTTTTATCTCACTGAAGGAGCTCTGGTGGCACAGTGGTGAAAGCATTTAGCTGCGAACCAAAATGTCAGCAGCTCAAACCCACCAGGTGCTCTGTGGGAGAAAGATGAAGCAGTCTGCTTCGGTAAAGATTGACAGCCTTGGAAACCCTGTGGGGGCAGTTCTCTGTCCCATAGGGTCTCTATCAGTCGGAATTGACTTGATGGCAGTGGGGTTGGTTTTTTATGGTTAGTTAACTTTCAGTAACTGCTCTATGCTTGAATCCCTGGTTGAAATCAATCCTTTGCACTTTACTCACAGAAACATCTTTGAATTAGCAAGTCTTACCCACCCACCCAAAAAAACAGTCACTCTACTGCTTTACTCTTGAATGTAGACATTAGAAAATTAGGGACTTTTCCAATTTTTTATTATGTATTTTGTCTTATACCAGTCATGATGAAATCTGAAATACGTAAGTAGGGAGGGTGAATACCGACCTCTTGAGTTCTCAGAATGAAACCATCAACAACACCTGCTTCTTAGAAAGGGGTGAAAGTGACAAAGAAAATAGGTGTGGTGATGAGTGAGGTGACTGACAAGGAAGGGGCCTGGCTTGCTCTCATTCTTGTCGGGTTTCTGACCTCACTTCTTGTACTGAGCCTTTCTTCCTTTCTTATTTTTTTTCTCAATTTTTAAACTTTGATTGTGATTTGGGTGAAAGTTTACAGAGCAATTTCGTTATCCATACCACAGTTCATACACATTTTGTTTCATGACATTGACTGCAATTCCCCACAGTGTAACGGCTCTCTTACCACTTCCTCCCCATAGTTAGTCACCTCTTCCCTGTGTCCTTCCCTCCCATGCACTCCCCTGTCTCCAGCTATCTCCTTGTGCAAACACTGCCCTTCTGTTCTCCCGAGAGATTGATGGCTTCAAGGAGTGTATCTACCTGGTGTAAAGGTTCACCCCTTATGCCTGTCTTTTAGTTGGCTAGAAGCCACAGGAGTAAGTTCAGTTCAGACCTGAAGGGCAGCGAGGGGCCATAATCTCAGGGGTCTCACCAGGTTCTATCAGACCAGCACACCTGGTCTTTTTTTTTATTATGATTTTGAGTTTTGTTCCACATTTTTCTCCCATTCTATCCAGGATCTCCTACACAGAGATGCCCCTCCGAATGGTTGACAGTGGTAGCTGGGCACTGTTCTTCTGGTTCTCTGGTCTAGTTCTTCTGGTCTCATGGTCATATAGGCTGAGGATCACATGGTCTGCTAGTCCCTTGGACTAATTGTAGAAAGCCCTTTCTTGCACTATAGAGCATCAAGAGTAGGATTCAAAAGGATTTTCCTGTAGAAGTGGTGGAAAATCTTGGTGTAGGCAAGGTTGCAAAAGTTTAACTCTAGAACCTCTTTCATGATGATCTATGGGAGACTCCATACCCAGGTAGATCCTTTTGAAAGAGAGACATGGGGAATTTCCTGCTCCCTCCCCTCCCATTGGGTACATAGCTTTTTCTGAGAAAGCATTGGTTAACATGGAGAGGCTCATGACAGTTAGACTTGATTTTTAAAAGTATCTTAGAGAAAGTGATGGGCCTCTTTGTGGCTGACCTGTTCTCTCCCTCTTGCTTCTCTTGCTTCTCTTGCAGTGGCCATCCCTGCCATTGGGGCCCAATATTCCATGTTTCAGGCCGCTTCAGCTCCTAAAATGATTGAAGACGGCAAAATCCACACGATGGAGCACATGATCAGCCCCATCACCGTGCAGCCAGACCCAGCCAGTGCCGCCGCCGCCGCCGCTGCCATCATTCCCACCGTGTCCACGCCTCCACCGTTCCAGGTCAGCCCCTAGTTGCAGACATTGTAATTGGTGTGTTAAGCCTCTCTTTAGCATGGATTCACTTACAGTTCAGCACTGAGAGTGTCCTGTGTACCTAGCTCTATAAGAACTATAGTGTTGGGTGACAGAAGTTTTGTTTTAATAAGTCATGACAGAAAAGAAAAATTTTCTGATGCTATTGCTGTATTAAAGATGAGAAGTTACATGCAAAAATAGCATGTAATTTCCCACAGTGTCGTAGTATTTTTTAATGATACTGGATTATATATATTCTTATCATTAGAAGTCCCTGAATGGTGCAGACGGTTAGTGCTCAGCTACTTACTGAAAGATAGTAGTTCGAACCCACCCAACGGTGCCGTGAAGAAAGGCCTGGTGATCTGCTTTCATAAAGAAACCTTTCACGGCCAGAAATCCCTATGGAGCATTTCTGCTCTCAGCACAGGAGCTGGAATCGATTGTTCTAGTTTGGTTCATTGTTATTGTTAAGGACTGACACAGTGCAGGGAGATGTTTCATATTCCAATTGCAACTCCATTAGAATATTTTTAAAGCATTTCTGCTACCCATGTACCTATGTATATACATGTATATATGTGTGTATACCCATGCATAAAGATATATCAATATATACATAGATATATAAAATTTTTCAGTGTCTACCCTTATTCCTCTCCTCTAACCGTCTCTCCCACAATTCTTTTATTTCCTCCAATACTATTCTTAATGGGTTTTTTCTTTCTTTTTAAGTAAACATCCTCTCCACCCCGCCCTGTAGCTTACCCAAGGAGCTCTAATGGCATAGTGAATAAGGCATTTGGCTGCTAACCAGTAGGTCATTGGTTCAAACCCACCAGCCTCTCTGTGGAAGGAAAATGGGATGATTTAATTCCATAAAGATTTACTGCCTCAGAAACCCAGTGGGGGTTGCTATGAGGCAGAATCAACTTGATGGCTCAAAAAAAAAAAAAAAAAAAAAAAACCACACTGCCGTGGAGTTGATTCAACTCATAGTGAAGCCTCCTTGGGTTTCCAAGGTGGTATCACTATGGAAGTAGATTGCCCAACCTTCCTTCTGAGGAGTGGCTGGTGGCTTTGAACCACCAGCCTTCTGGTTAGCAATCAAATGCCTTAGGCACTATGCCACCAGAGCTCCCAACTTGATGGCAGTCAGTTTTTTGGGTTTTTTTTCTATTTGTTTGTAGTTTACCCTCCCTTTCCCACCCACCCCTGGTAGCTATCAAAGAATATTTCTTTTTTTATGAAACCCTTTTCTTGACTTTGCATTAGTGATCTCATATAGTAACTTCACTTAGCATAATGGGCTGTAAGTTCATCAATGTTAAGAGATGTTTTGCAGATTCATCAGTGTTCTGGAATGTTGCATAGCATTCCATTGTGTATGTATCCCATACTTTCTTGATCCATTTCTCTGTTGATGGGCATTTAGGTTGTTTCCATCTTTTTGCTATTGTAAGTAGTGCTGCGATGTTACCATCTGTTTGTGTCATGGCTCTTATTTCTCTACATATATACTTGGTAGTAGAATTGTTGGATCACATGATACTTCTATTTAAGTTTTTTAAGGAAGCACCTTATTGTTTTCCACAGTTGTTGCATCATTTTACAGTCCAGTAGCAGCGTATGAGGATTCCAGCCTGTCTATAGCCTCATCAGCCTTTGTTGTTTTTATTTTTTTGAACTTTACTATTAATGCTGAGGCGAGATGTTATCTAATTGTTGTTTTGATTTCCATCTCTGTAATGGCTAACAATCACATGCGTTTTTTCAAATGTTTCTTAGCTGCTGAATATCTTCTTTCGTGAAGTGTCTGTTCATGTCCTCTGCCCATTTTTTAGTTGGATTGTTTATCTTTTTGTTAAGTTGTTGAAGTTTTCTATAAATATTAGAGATTAGCTGCTTGTCCAACACATCGCCAAAATTTTTCCCAGTCTTTTTACGCTTTTGGTGAAATATTTTAATGTGACTAAGTGTTCATTTTTTAGGAGGTCCCAGTCATCTATTTTGTCTTTTGGTGTTTGTGTGCTTTTTGTTATATTTGATAGTGTTTTTATGCCCTGAATTAGGGCCCCTAAGTTTGTCTCTATTTTTCCTTTGATAGTCTATGGTTTTAGGTTTTATGTTCGGGTCTTTTATCCAACTTGAGTTTACTTTTGTGTATGTTGTGAAATATGGGTCTTGTTTCATTTTTATGCAAATGGCATCTAGTTTTGCCAGCACTATTTATAAAAGATACTATCTTTTCCACATTTAATGAGTTTCAGTTCTTTGACAAGGATTAGCTGTATATAGGTAGTTGGATTTACTTCTAGGTTCTCAATTCTATTCCATTGGTCTACGTGTCTGTCATTATACCAGTACCAGGCTGTTTTAACTACCGGGCTATATGGTAGGTTTTGAGATCAGGGAATGTAAGGCCTCCTATTTTGTTGTTCTTCTTTATTAGTATTTTACTTATCCAGGGTCTCTTTCTTTTCCATACAAAGTTGGTGATTAGCTTGTCCAAGAAAGATGATGGAATCTGGATCGAGACTGCATTTTAACTGTAGACTACTTTGGGTAGCATTGACATTTTCACGATGTTAAGTCTTCCCCATCCATGAGAATGGTACTGTCTTTCATTTATGTAGGTCTCTTTTGGTTTCTTATACTAGTGTTTTGTAGTTTTCTTTGTATAGGTCCTTTGTGTCTCTGGTTAGATTTATTCCTAAGTACATCATCTTTTAGGTGGTTATTGTAAATGTTATTGTTTTCCTGATTTCCTTTTCAGAGGTTAGTGTAAAGGAATCCAACTCATTTTTGTATGTTGATCTCATGCCCTGCCACTTTGCTGTAGCTATCATTTAGTTCCAGTGATATTCTTACTGAGTCTTTGGGATTTTCTATGTATAAGGTCATATAATCTGCAACTAGAGATAGTTTTAGCCTATCTTCTTTGCCAATTTGGATGCCTTTTATTTCCCTTTCTTGCCTTATTGCTCTGGTAAGGACTTCCTATTCAATTGAATAGGAGTGGTGATAAAAGGCATCCTTGTTTGGTACCTGTTTGTAAGGGAAATGCTTTCATTCTCCATTGAGAATAACGTTGGCTGTTGGTTTTATATATCCTTCCCTACCTTTGCTTATAATCTTCTTCTGTTTATCTGCAGTTTCTTCACTTTCATCCCATGTATAGAATCTTTCCTATCTGTGTGAGCCTGGGGGAATCATCTCCTGTGCTTCTCGTTATGTATTTCATCACTTGGCACATGTTGTTGTTAGGCGCTGTCGAGTTGACTCCGACCGTAGCAGCCCTGTGTACAGCAGAATGAAACACTGCCTGTCCCTGCACCAGCCTCAGAATCCTTGCTGTGCTTCAGTCCATCACTGCAACTTGACATATGACTGATCTTACATTCTATCTCCTCAATTAAAATTAAGCTTCTTCAGACCAAGGTCTATCTTTATTTGTATCTTCAGTGCATAGTAAATAAAACCCAAACTAAACCAAACCCATTGCTGTCAAGCTGATATCGACTGTATAAGACAGAGTAGAACTGCCCCATCTAGTTTCCAAGGCAACTCTTCATGAAAGTAGACTGCCACATCTTTCTCCTGCAGGGTGGTTGGTGAGTTTGAACCACCAACCTTTTGGTTAGCAGCCAAGCACTTAACCTTTGCACCATTAGGGCTCCTTGTGCATAGTAGAGAGATTCTCAGAAAGTAGTTGTTTTTGCCTGATTGGTTTTTGGGATCTTCATTGTCTCTTAGGCATATTATAAGTTACCATCATGTAGCTTGGGGCAGAGCCACTCATTTACTCAACTTTTAAACATAGCTACTGTGTTGGGGACACAGTGGTAAAGGTGTCTTTCTTCACTTAATGTCTGTACCACTAAAGTCATATGTGTAGGTTAAGCCAACTGTATAGGGTACCCAGAACTCAGAGTGCTTCTGGCTCTATTCCATCATTTACCTGCCCCAGGCTGGTGGCTGGTACATGCTTATGTGCATAACTTGATCTTGAACACTGTCAGAATGAACCGCCTGAACCCAGGTGTTGGGCTGGGCTATCACATGGAAAGATTTTTTTCAGATGCCACCTTCCTGTGATTCCCTCCCTTTGTGCAATTACTACAACATAATGCTATTACATAATTATACAAAGCTATACGCTTGGAGGGGCTCCTGGGGATGTGCAGATGATTTATACTCAATATTAACCAAAAGGTTGGTTGTTCAAACCCACTGCGTGGTGCCACAGATTAAAGGCCTGGCCATCTGCTTTTGTCAGATTATAGCCAAGAAAGCCATGAGCTGGAATCATCTTGATGCCAAAGGGTTATATACTTGGAAAAGATTGTTTGTGTCTTGCTGTGAGCCACAGAGTTCCCAATTCTAAAATTTCTCTCCTTAGCTGTAAAGGTTGCTGAGGAGATACTCAATGGATAGTGTTTTAGGAAGCAAGATAATGTAGGACTTAGTGGCATGCTTCCATTGCTTAAAAATCATGTCCCCTTGTGCATGCCACATTACCCGTGTGAGCCTCTCCATGCAATCATAATCCCACCTTTTCACTGGTGGTTGTATTGATTCAGTAATGTCATACAAATAAGCACTTAGATAGGTGTCTTAAGAGAAGTAATGTCTCAGTTATGATTTTTTTTTTTTAAAAAGAAACCAAACCCACTGCTATCGAGTCAATTCCAACTCATAGCAACCCTCATTAGGTTTCCAAGGCTGTGAATCTTTTTGGAAGTAGATTTCCCTGTCTTCTTTCCACAGAGCAGCTGGTGGGTTTGAAACACGAACCTTCCTGGTTAGCAGTCATATGCTTTAGGCACTGCACCACCAAAGCTCCTTCAGTTATGAATAGTTACTGGTATTAGTATAGTATAATTATTATTTTCATTACAGTTGAAGATAGTACTCTTAGATTATGAAGTTCTTTGAACATAATTTGGTGACTTTTTTGATTTGCAGACTTTGTAAAAGGAATAACTTATCCCTTCAAAGTCCATGAAGAATGAATTAGTTCAGTCTAATTCTCCGTTTATATATCCTGAACAGTATGTTTTGAAACTTCATTAAATTATAGAAACCAAAGTAGCCTTTCCTACAGGGCATTCTGTGGAATATTAGGTGCACCAGATAGTTTGTTAAGTGTATGTTTTAATTTACGAAAAATCTCCTTTTCCATGAAGTAGCTAATTGAGTTTGCTCCTTGGCAGACAATTTTTAAAGCCGTTTTGTGTTGCAGAAGTTCATGGTTTGCAGTTTAATGCAAAAAGGAAACCATTTTATTTCAATTTTATTAAAAAGGTTTGTTTTATTAGGAAGTAAATGTTAGAGTGTTTTGTGGTCTGTTTGAAGAAAATGCCAGACAACACTCTTCCCAACTCCTCCTGCTATTTGATGGGAAAACATAGAATTTTACACTTTTAAGTAGAAAGAAGGATGTAGCAGGGACTTCAACAGTGCCAGTGGTGGCCATAGCCTGAGTGTGGCAGTAGCCTGAGTGTGATTTTTTTAGCTTGTCCTCCCTCACCTCCTCCTCATCCTTCGAAACCCAGTTCAAATGCCTCCACTTTAATCAAGTTAGTTGATTCCTTCTCGAAGCTTCCACAACAATTTTTCAAATACATACAGTGGTGCCTTATCTTAGATGAGAGATGATTGAAACTATCATATTGGCAGAAAATTGTATTTGGTCAGAAAATCTCTTAAGAAACTATTCATCTGTAGACCAGTATGTTCCATTAAGTTAGCATAGTCTGTTTTCCTCTCTAGTTTAGAAACAGCTAAGTATGAATTAAAGAAGCTGGCATGGATTTCAGACTAAACCAAACTCACTACCATTGAGTCAATTACAACTCATTCCATTGGGCTTCCAAGGCTATCAATCTTTACAGAAGGAGACTGCCCCATCTTTCTTGTACAGAGTGTCTGGCATGCATTTAGAGGCTGTATGTATCACTGTGAGATCAACTGAATGGTAGATTCTCAGCTCCCTACTCTAGCATCCACTCCTCAGAAGGAAAGTTGGGCAATCTACTTCCGTGGTGATACCACCTCGGAAACCCAAGGAGGGGTCGCTATGAGTTGGATGCGACTCAACAGCAGTGAGTTTGGGCTTGGTTTGACTCTAGCACACTCCAGGGCATATGCCCATTGAGCAGAATTCTGGGTAGAAGATTCCAGAGTATATAAATGTTCTCTCAGCATTCCAGTTCTCATCACAGTCATGTCATTGGGTTTGAATGAGTTGAGTGCCTTCAGGATGCAACACCATCTTACCTCTTTAATGGGTTATATCCCACTCCTTTGGGGACATTGGTGGTTCAGTGGTAGAATTCCCTCCTTCCGAGTGGAACTCAGACAGTGCATCTCATGTGCAGCTATATCTGTGGGGCTTTGCACACTGCTGTGATGCTGGACAGCTGTAACTGGACCAGGAAGAAATTCCTGACCATCTACTTGTGGGAATGAGCTAATGAAAATCAACACAACAGTCTGGTCCTCAGCCAGCCATTTCATTGTACATGGAGCTGCCACAAGGCAGCTAACAACAATAGCAACAACCATAATGTCCCCATCCTTTACAATAATTGTTACTTGTTTACTCATCTGCCTTTTGAAAATGAAAAGCTTTGATTTTACATCTTTGTACTCCCATCCCCTGCAAGATTCTTGTTAAATGGTTGACTGAACGGGATGGGCTCATACATGCATTCAATAAGGATTCTTTCTCTTTCTTCAGGGCCGCCCAATAACACCAGTATACACGGTGGCTCCAAACATTCAGAGAATTCCCACTGCCGGGATCTATGGTGCCAGTTATGTTCCATTTGCTGCTGCTCCTGCCACAGCCACGATCGCCACACTACAGAAGAATGCAGCAGCCACTGCTGCCGTCTATGGAGGTTATGCAGGCTATATACCTCAGGCATTCCCCGCTGCTACTGCTATTCAGGTTCCTATTCACGATGTCTACCAGACGTACTAAGACTGGTGATGAGCGTGAAGACAAGCCGCAAAGACAACCACTGAAGGAACGCTTTACTATTTATGAAGAAAGACCGTGTTGGATTAGCACACATATGAAACCTACTGAAAGTGAAGAATGTTATCAAACGTCATACAGAAATATTTTATATACATGAAGTTTTCACTAGTTTTTTAAGACTATTTTCAAGTTAGCAAGCCTGTGTTCATCCATGTCTAAGAGACTTGCCTTAATACCATCTCTTAAAAATGTGTTATACTCTGATACATTTGTATAGAGGTTTGTTGTTTTTTTAAGGATATATTTTCAGTATGAAGGTTATTTTCTTAACTTCTGCACTCCAGAGATTTCTATTTTGTAGTACCTTCAATAATATATCAACTTTATATTAAAAAAGCACACTTGAGCAGCTAGGGAACTATTTTGAAAAAAAGAATATATTCAATATTTAAAGATACAAACAATAGTGCTTTAAAACTACTACATAAAAAGTTATTTTAAAAGTTATACTGGAAAGTGCAATTTTAAAATGAGTAAAACCTCTGAATTTCTGCTGGCATTAAGGGTTGATGGTGTTACCACCATGTGTTATCCATGATGGTTCTGTTTTTTCAAAGACATTAAACACTCAACCTCTCCTTAAGCCAAGATGTAAAAGACTTGTCAGACTTCTGAGTTCAAACACTGGAAAGCTCTCACCTGCCCCCATTACCCTGGGTCCCCACCCATTCCTCCGCTCCACCCTCAATCCAAGTCTGATGTTTGGCAAGTCTAGGACAAATGAATTACTCTGATAGAGAAGTTTTTGTTTTTGTTTTATTTTAATGCTTTTATACTTCTTCCTGGGTTTTTGTTGGGTTTCCTGGTTTTTGTTTCATTGTTTTTTGGTTGGGAAGGTATTCTATGCATGCTGTTGTCAATAGCAGAGTATGTGTAAGCACAAGGTTCGAATAGTTTGCAAAAGACTTCTTTGCATAGTTATTTAAATGTCTAGTAGAAAACTTTAATTTCCTGTCTAATGCTTTTATTTTATTGTTTTTGAAGTTTGAGTTGTAGTGACAGAGAACGTATGGTATTATAGACAAGAACCCCCCTGCCGCAACCCCCAAAAGACTTTTGTCAGCAGAAAGTTATGCTTCTAGTTGCCTTCTCGTGGTCATGCAATACGCCTGTGGTCGTTAGGGGTGTTGGAAGCTTCATGGTTGTTGAGCAGTGCTTTCCTCCATTGCTGTGCATCTGAGAGGTGACCTGATTCAGGTGTGCACACCTAGGAGGAGGAGAGACGTGCAGGAGTTAAAAGGTGGTTTGTAAATATCTTCTAAAATTCAATTTTTAAAGCCGTTTTGTGTTGCAGAAGTTCATGGTATGTAGTTTAGTGCAAAAAGGAAACCATTTTATTTCAATGTTATTGAAAAGGTTTGTTTTATTAGGAAGTAAATGTTGCAGTGTTTTGTGGCCTGTTTAAAGGCTTTTGTTTAGCAGAGTGAATGTAAAATACAGTAAAATGTTAGCACTGTCATCTACTTTAAGAAATACATCATCTTGGATTTTTCTCTTTTAAAGGCTCTATCAAGGAAGTGAGGTGTGCAATAGGTAGCAAATATACTGTTATGTTTTATGTCATTTTAGAGATCCATAAAATCTTTGTACTCACTGGATTTTTGCTGATGGCTGAAATTCTTATTTGTAGATTTATAATAGGATCATGCCCTTAGCAACTATTTTAGTTTTATTTTAAAATTAAATTAAGAGATTCCCAAAAGGCCCCCCCCCCTTTTTTTTTTCTCCCCTCATCTTGGGATGGGATAAATTTTTTATATATAAGCAATATTTATTTTTAACTATTTTGTAAATTGTATTGGGTGCCTGGTAAGGCCTTTAAACATTCCTAACATTCCTTTCCATCGTTCCTAAATGACATAAAGTAAGTGTGCAATGTTCCTTTGTGTTCCCAGAAGCTGCATCCAAACTAAATCTGTTGCAATGAGTAACCAACAAAATGTCATTTGGCTCAGATCCTCATCCCTTGGCGTTGTGTCAAAGAAGTACTCTTCTTCTAGCGAGGGATTATCACAGGGTTCACTAGATGAGAATCTGACCCAGTGTTCTTACTGTATTTTACATGTAAATTATTTGCAAAAAAGTGAAAAGGATAAAAGAAAAATACAGATATCTTAACATGGCGACTACCAAACTACCTTAAAAACAAATGTTGGTGACAAAGCCAGTTAAGTATCAGTGAGCCTGTCTGTGGTCTGTCTGTTCTATTGTTTCAGAACCATTTCATGTACACTACTGAGATACGTTTATAACTTGAAATGTGAACTCTTTTTTTTTTTTTTTTAGGGTTAAGAACAAACTATAAATGTCAGAAAAAAAAAAAAAGAAAAGAAAGTTTAAGTGTTCCCTGTTTTCAAACATGCTTGTAGTTTAGTTATTTTTAGCTGCTTTGTATTTGAAAAGCTTTTACGTTTATTTAGATCTTGCTCCATTCATATACATTCTTAGGATGTAGTAAATAAAGCATTCTTTAAAGAAATCGTAAGACTTTATCTTATTTTAATTGTAGTTTGGGTGAAATTTACAGAGCAAATTACTTTTCTACTCAACAATCTGTACACGTTTTGTTTCGTGATGTTGATTACAGTCCCCTCATTGGAACCGCACGCTTCCTGCTTCCTCCCTGGGTTCCCCCATTTCCCCTCTCTCCTGCTCCTTCCTGCCTTCTGAGCTTTGTTTTGGAACAAATATGTTGGGTTGTACTAAGAAGTAACATTCCTCTCTGGTAAATAATAATTCACTTTATAGGACTGTATGTTATTTGGCTGAAAGTTGATTCCCAGGGTGGATTCTGTTCCAGGTTTGGGGGGTGTCTTAAGGGCCATAGTCTTGAGGGTTCCAGCAGTCTCTGTCAGACCAGTAAGTCTGGTCAAGATCTTATTTTAAATTGTGTTTTCTTTATACTGATTTTCTTTTTTAACAAAACTAGAAAAAAACCTTGCGGAATGGAATTCTATATTTTCAGTTGGAGAAACTGGCAAGTTGTTGTATCTTTGGTTTGGAGTTACCATTGAAGGTGCAGTACATGGTTAATTGTGAATTATCAGTATCCTTAAACTTCAGCTCAGATGGTAAAATGGTGAATACTCACTAATCAGCATCTGGATTGGAATAGAGTGAGACTAAGTGTGTCTTGCCTCCATACTGAAGTTTGCATTTTGTGTTCCCAGGAGCTTTATATCCAAAATACTACATGGAGATAGTCACTGTGACATGGAGTTATTTGTTGGCCTCATGAAAGTGCTGGGGTGACCTTGATGTCACTGCACCTGAAACCAAAGCCTTCTGTTTCTCCTTTTCACAGTATAGAGCAAAGTTTGTCAGAACATTTCCCCCCCCCCTTTTTTTTTTCTAGAGATCACCCTTAACTTCAGAGAAAAAATACCCATCACCAAAGCCAACCAAAGAATTCAAGGGAAAGTGGTGGATTCTTCATGAAATTACTTCTAAAAACTGCCTAGCTTGCCACTGCCAATGATAAAGATTACGAATTTGACTTCTTAATCTTGACCCTGGGTTGAGACCTTCTGACCTGCATTTCTTGGAATTCTAACTTCCTGCTTCCTCTTTAAAGAATAAAGGCCCTTTTAGAAGCAGGACAGGTTGGGAAACTTCCCAAGATGACAGCTCATTGGGCAATGTTTTTAAGGACAAGAGCTGCTGGTTCCTTTCTGTTCTAAGAAAAAAGTATAGACACCCTTCAAGTTCCCAGGTCACCTTCAAAGTTAGGTTGACCGTGTTTTGGAAAAAAAAAAAGCATGAACAGTCATGTAAGACATGCTAGGTCCCAGACCTCATTCTAGGTGGGATAGCCAAAACAAACAATACCAACGAAATCCTACACTCGTGGACTTACAATCTAGTGGGGGAACACTGATGAAATGAACAGGTAACTAATATGCTGTATGCTGAGTGGGGATTAAACACTATGATGATGTGTTTCATAAGGCTCTGGCTTCCGTTATCTCAGGTGGACCTAATAATAATTCTGCAAACTAAGTGAGACAGATACATAACCAGCCAAGGTCACACAGGTAAGAACCAGGACTCAAACCTGTGCTTGGAGCTCTAAATCCTAGGTTCTCACAAACATTACACTGCCCTGGAAGTAGTGATAAAGCTAGTCATGCCAAGGACCCAGTCAGGGTTGGGTTACACAATAAGCAAGGTAAGCACATTTTTTCACTACATCAAAGATTGTGCTTCTAGGTCTAGCTAGCATTTCTCTCTCTCCCAGCCCCACAGCACTTCCTACAGAATCAAAGCCTCTTTTCAAATTTGCAATCCCTGACAAGTACAGAGCTCGCAGTAAGCAAGGTAAGCATGGGCTTACTTGTGTGTAGTTAGAAATCTTAAAAATGTTGACTATAGCTCTGGTAGCATAGTGCCTAAAGGCACTTGACTGCTAACCAGAAGGCTGGTGGTTCAAACCCACCAGCCACTCAGAAGGAAGGTTGGGCAATCTACTTCCATAGTGATACCACCTTGGAAATCAAGGAGGGGTCGCTATGAGTTGGATCCAGCTTGACAGCAAGTAACAACAACAACATAGTTTAGTAAGTAAGCATGAGTAAGCCCATGCTTACCATAACTCACTGCCATTGAGTTGATTCCAACTCATAGTGACCCTATAGGATCAAGTAGAACTGCCCCATAGGGTTTCCAAGGCTGTAAATCTTCACAGAAGTAGACTGCCTCATCTTTCTCCTGTGGAAGAGCTGGTGGGTTTGAACCAACAATATTTTGATTAGTAGCCAAATGCTTTAACCACTATGCCAACAGAGCTCCCTTGTTTTTACCTTGCTTATTGGGTAATCCCCCCTGCAAGGGCCAATTTCAGAGCAAAAGAAAAAGAAAAGCCAAGCCTTTCTACATGTGTAGTTTCTTTGGTGGCTTTCAGTGTATTGTCAGAAGCAACCTTCTTCCTCAGGGCATGGGAACTGAATGACTGAAAATGCCTGCTCAGCCAGGAAGACAGCAGCTATAAGTGGGGCTGGTAAAGTGTAAGGAATTCCTTCTGCAAGACTGCTCCAAGATTATCAAGGAGGCTACAGAACTACCATAGGAAGTCAACTATTCCTTTCTGAATCTTTAGTAGAATTGGTACCCTGATTTTTTTCATTCCAAAAATGCATGTCATAGTAATATACATAGCACTTACTGGGTTGAATATCAAAAATCAATTAATGACCACAATGTAGAACAATTAGAAGACATTGTTTTGATCTTTCCTTTCTTGTGAAAGATAATCCTATGTACAGTCCAACATTTATGGGGTGCTATTACATGACAAATCAACTTCTTTAGACTTCTTTAGAAGTCTAAAGAAAAGACTTCTTTAGAGTGTTAAAGGAGAAAGATGTCATTTTGAAGACTAAAGTGTGCCTGACCAAAGCCATAATATTTTCAATTGCCTCATGCATATGAAAGCTGAATAATGAATAAGGAAGACTGCATTTGAATTGTAGTGTTGGCAAAAAATACTGAATATAATATGGACTGCCAGAAGAATAAATAAATCTATCTTGGAAGAAGTACATCAGTAATGCCCCTTAGAAGTGAGAGTGGCCAGACTTCATCTCTGGTACTTTGGTAATGTTCTCAGAAGGGACGAGTCCCTGGAGAAGGATAGTGTGCTTTGCAAAGTAGAGGGTCATCAAAAAAGAAGACCCTCCATGAGATGGACTGACACAGTGACGGACACAGTGGGCTCAAGCATAGCAATGATTGTAAGGCTGGCTCAGGACCAGACAGTGTTTTATTCTGTTACACAAAGGGTCTCTATGAGTTGGCACCGA